TCTCTTCTCTTCTTCTTCCTTTCCTTTCTCTTCTGTGTTCCTTTGCTTGCTAGTAGACCACATGCTGCCCAGCGTGCAGAGGGAAGTGTCTGCCCATGAGTGGCTCTCAGTGGTTAAGCCATGTGCATTCCGGGGGCTGACCGGGGTGCCACATGAACAGAGAAAAGAAACTTGGGCTGCTGAGCCCTGGACAGGTGCATTAGGGTCTGCTGCAGGAGCAGGGAAGGCAGATGCATGGGGATTCGGTACATCCTGTGTGGAGCAGCATTCTCCACTCACTGCTCCTCTCCTGCGCCTTGCTCTCCCTGGACTAGTCTGTCACCTACCCCACGCCTGGTTGGGAAATACTGGTCTATGTTGCTGAAGGCCCAGCGTGCCTATTGAGCAGGGTGTAGCTAGTTACAACAGGACTGAACAAAGAGGACTCATGAAGGCAACTCCCTCTTTAACACAGGCTTGGAAGATTTCCTTTCCAGGCCAACTCAATAGCTAAGCGACTCTCATGTTCCTGTCGGACACGATTCCCCTGGCTTCATAGCTGAGTCGAGTCTATCACTTCTCAGGTCTCATTCCAGACAGACGGACAGTTTTAAAGAACCTATGTGCCTCAGTTTCCCTATCTGGGTAAAGGGGGGATAATGACAAGGAGCTCCTTTGTAAAGGGCTTTGAGATCTAGGGATGAAAAGAGCTAGGCATTATTAATTTGGATGAAAGCCCCATCCTTTGGGATAATGAAGCCAAACAGCACATAGCCATAGAAAAGCTAGCTGTGAGAAGCAGCCCTACACTCTCTGAGCACCGCTGTAACCGCCTCACCTGGACGATTTCCTGCTGCTGCGATTATACCAGCAGACAGAGGATGCCATAACCACAGGCTGAATCTCCCCCTTCTGTGTGATTTCATTGTTTATATTAAGTACTTCATGAAGCTGGACTCCCCTGCTCATTATTCGATGGCTGCAGGGACACATAAAAGTTCAGAGAAGCCTGTCGGGTCACTACCCCCAATCCTCCACCCCCACGGGCAGGTCAGTACCACACTGAGCCGATCATGCTCCTGAGCAGGTCAGAGCACAGTCCCCCTATAAAGCAGGTCAACCGTCCCACTGCTGGGGCATGGCAAAGCCCTACGGGCAGGGCAGCTCAGGGATGTGCTAAACCCATCCTCCTGCTGGGGGAGGCAGGCTTTGGTCCCCCTCCATCGCTCTCCCATCCCCTCAGGGACCAAGTGGGAGAGCTGGGGCTCTGCAGAATGGCCCAAGGGAATGGGGGACTTATAGGGAGGGGGAGTAGGTACCTCATTGTCCTTTCTCCCAATTGGCCACTGCTACAAATGCATACACCCGTGAGTAATTTTACATACGTGCCTAGGCCCTCTGGCATCTAGAGCATGGCTCATTGGAGTCATTTACTCAAGTGCAGGACTGGATCCCAAGTAAAACTAGCCAGTAACCTAAGAATCTGCTCCTGCCCCCATTGATATTAATGGCTGAAACACCCTTTTAAATTCAGTTCACACAGGCGTGGCTTTACAATCAAATCTAAATTACATGTCAGCTGTCAGTGCAGTGCCCCAAGCCACTGAGCTGGGGAAGGCCACTTGATCAATGAAATTAGTCATGTATAAGCTATTCCTCTGAAGAGTAATGATGAATTGTTGACAGCGTTCCAGTTCCCCTTCCGAAAGCTGATGCTGTCACCCGTCTGTGTCCATTAAACTGACCTGGAGACTATAAGGTGGCAGGGTTGATTCTCATCTCGCTTTACACCAATGTGAATCAGGAGTAAATCCACTGAAATCAATGTTGTTGCACCGGTGCTGATCAGATCAGACCCAGCCTCTCATTCTGGACAGGACTGTTCCTGCTACTTGGAAACAAGTTGGTGATTTTATTATCCATTTGATCACAGCTTTGCCTAGCACATGACAATGCTTTCATAGCAACTGCAAATTCTGTATAATAGGACTGGGAGACATCTTTTATTACCAGGGATTCTGCCTACGGCTCTGCTTTTTCCCTTCTCTCTCATTCCAAATTTGAGGCCCTTAACTTACTAATTAAACATCTGTTTTCTATAGCTAGTGATTAAATTGTATCATATCTTCCTAAAGAGGCTGACACGGATCCAAACTAAAAGATGGATGTTGTATTTCTCTTTCATCCAAATGATTTCATTTCTTGGACTTAGATCAAATCGAATGGAGGAAAGTCGAACTAGCTGTTGAATCAATGGGAAGATACTGTAGTAAAACCTCTACCTTAAAAGAAGTACCCAACTGGGATCTGTGCACATTTATTTGGGGGCTGAACATGGTCCCGTACATTATGATAGCATTAGTCCAGAGTCCTTTCTAATTTGAAAGGCTCCGCCAATGTCATTTCATGTGTATAAATGTCTATTATATCTGTCTTCCTCTGTTCTGTATAAACCAGCATCTAGAATTTCTCTTGATGGATGAATGCCAACTACATAGTAGCACTTGTAGCAACAGATTAAAGTTACCTTTTTGCAGGTGACATTTGGATTCAGCCTGTTTTTCAGGAAATGGTTTCTTTGGCTGAACTTGCTTTATGGGCCATTTATGAGGTTTTTCAGCTTTATCCCTATTCTTTGTTTGCCTTTCCCACCTATTGGCTTTTGCCTGTGGCTGCAGCTCCCAAGGGGGAGACAAAAAAAGACAAGCGCAGGCTTGCTCTCGGTCACTGAGATTTCATCACAGGGTCTTGGGCATGACAAACTCCCCAGGAAACTTGCCCTTTCTCTGAGTAGAAGATCGGAATCAGACACAGGAGAGTTTCTGCCTTTGCACCACTGTAGAGCCGCTAACTAATGGGAACAGGATTTGACCCATAGTGAGTTGGGTGGCAAAGAATTTTAGTGGTTACAGCAATGGCCGGAGAGTCTGGAGACCTGGATTCTTTTCATGATTCTGCCACAGAGTCTCTATTCGCCAGATGCTTGTGTTTTCAGTAATAGATTATTTGTAAAAAAATTCAATCTCCTTTCAGAAAAAAGGTGCTACATCATTTATAAAATATAATTAGCGCCTACTGTGGGCGTGCATGTGAACTGTATGCTGACCTGTACCAGAGTGGCAAGTTCTAGAGCTCTGTATAGAGGTGCAGAGCCCTTTTCCTGACTCACCCTGATGGAGCAAATTGATCCCACCTTACAATCCAGGGGTGAAATCCTGGCTCCACTGAAGTGTCAATTGCTAAACTGACTTCAGTGGGACCAGGATTTCACCCTAGAAACATGAGTTGTGGTGTGTTTCTCAGCAGAGGCAATTAGGGTCAGGCCCAAAGACGATGAACAGTCAAGCTCAGCCCGAGGAGTCATCTGAGGTTTATGTTGCCTCGTTGAAGTTTACATAAGTAGTAACGGCAAAACCCCTAAGACTGGATCCTATCCAGTGTGCAGTGACTGTGCCCGCAGTGCATAGGTCTGCAAACTGCTCCGTGGGGGTGCTTTGAAAGAAATACAGTCTATAGTGACTTTCCTTTTGTCAGACCTTGGCAATCATGAGACTCCATAGATACCGATGGGCACCTACACAGTTTGTAGCTTTGTTTGGACAGGATTGTTCAGTCCCGGTGCTCCTTGGGAGTCATAGGCTGGGCTGCCAGACAGCTGAGAATAATCAGACAGTGTCAAAAATGCCATGCTTGTTTCTCTAAGTAAAGCAGCAGCTGCGGTAAGAAGTTGACTTGCTTTAAATCGCCACAGGAGAGGTTGTGGATTGGGATGGAGTTACTGATCTATTGGAGGAAAAGGCAGTGTGGGGTCTATCAGAGGCTAACAGTCCTCAGGCAGGGAGGTAGACTGTATTTCTATTATTATCGCTTACATTGGGGCAGCTGTTTAGAGAAGGCTTTGCAAACAAGTAGGAAGACAAAGTCCGTGCATCCAAGATCTTAACAGCTGTGGTCCTGATCTTGCATTCACATGAGCCATCCTTACTCAGCTCAGAGGTTCCATCTGATGGAGATGTGTGGCCACTACAGCTGGCGAGCGCATGGGAGGAAGAGGAAATCGTGAAAAGTCCTGTGTGGTTTTAATCCCAAAAAAAATTTCCCGTGTCAAAATTGTGCAATTTCTGTGATGTTTAGGGACTGAAGGCAGTTTACGAGAACTGAAGGGACATTGTCCATTTCTCGGCGCATGAGCCACGTCTGCAGAATTGTCATAAACATTCTTGAAACTCATTGGTCTCCGCTCACCTTTTCTAAGGTAACCGGCCATCATGGAAAATGAAAATGATCTGCAGCTGCTCTTCCCATTGCAGGTCTTCAGAAGTGTTGGACCAAATTAGGACCCAGCCTACAATCTGAACCCAACTCTTCTGTGGATTCAACAAGATACTTAAACATTTGTCTACATCATGTGAATAGCTCCATTGTATTCTCAGGCTCCATCACTAGATTTGCCTAGTCAGACATCCTGATCCTTGTTGCTCCATTTTCCACAGCAAGATGTCTCTGGCAGGGCTTCCCAGCCGCTGATACATCCCGGGTGTGGTTGTTAAGGTAATTGCAAGGAAATCAGGCTACACCTCCCATGATAGTAACAGACAAGCGGAAGCAGACAAGCAGAAGACAAAATCTTCTGAGACATTCCACAGGCTCACTTTGCCAGGGAGAGAGGAAGGATCGTACAGGGGCACTGCAGACCTGCTCCCTTCTCTGCCACAGCTTCCCTGTGGGACCCTCCTCCAGCCTAAAATTGCAACAAGTCATAGAAATATTGGGCTGAGTTTATTCCTGATGCAGCTCTACTGCCATGAATGGAATTACAGTAGGGAAGAGTTTGGCCCATTGTGGTCACAATCCAGGAGTCTACGTGAGGGCAGTAAAATGTGATGCGCCTTGTAACTGCAGCAATGACACACACCCCTCCATCATTACACACATCACAACCTAAAGCCAGTGCTTCGGTACACACGGGACATGTGGGGGATAGTTCTGAGAAACCTACAGTATCACACGTGGGGAAAGTATCTTGTTTCTCAGGTGGGAAAATGCAGTATGTTCTGTTGATGTGGGACCCATTGAATGAATATGGAAAAGAAAGACGAAAACCAGACTACTTGACTATCAAATTGTGTGTGTGCGGTGAAATGAAATGTCATTTCAAAAAGAGTTTGCTTCTCCAGTTAAACTCACAAGCCCTGTTGGATTAAAGGGAGCAGGTGCTAGCTACCTGGAGAACTTTCTCTTTATCATAGGACCCGGGTGGCTCTGAGGGACTGTCGTGGGTGTTAAATAGAAGCACCAATCTAGGAATTGTGATTTCAAATCCAGCCCAGGGCAGAAGTCTGAAGTTAAAACAAAACAAAAAAACAGGTGTATTGCTCCAATCTGCCTCTAGCAAAGGGGGTTTTTATTTGGGGGAAATGTAATCTGAATACAGCAGAATAGTCAAAAGACGCTGAAACTATTGTTGGAAAGAAAATAAACTACATAAGCAAAGGCTTGCTGGGAGGGGAGGATGATTATTAGAATCAGAGGGTTAGAAGGGGTCGCAAGGGTCATCTAGTCTAACCCCCTGCTAAGATGCAGGATTTGTTGTGTGTAAACCAGCCAAGGCAGATGGCTATCCAGCCTCCTTTTGAAAACCTCCAGTGAAGGAGCTTCCACAACCTCCCAAGGCAGTCTGCTCCATTGTCCTGCTGTTCTGACAGTTAGGAAGTTTGTCATGAGATTAGGGGTGGAAGTGTGGCGGGGAGGGGGCTGAGGGGTTAGGGGATGGGGGCTAGGGGATGAGGGAGGGGAAGGGTGCGAGACTGGGAAGGGGGACATGGGTGTGAATGACAAGGGGAATGGGGCAGAGTAAAGGCTGAGGTAGGGACAGCTGTCAGCCCCACATTGCCCTCCCATGTGAATGCCACAATCTGTAGGCCCCTGTCCATCTGAAGTGATCTGACCCCTCTCCTTGCCTCTCCTCATGTGAGCAAGGTTCTGGGGGGTTGCTTTTCTGGGATGGGGGGTGTCTGAGCCCTTCCCCTACCTCCTATGGAATTTGGGGGTGCGTGCCCTCACCAGTGGTGTCTGAGCCCCACTCCCTGCCACCTGTGTGTATGCCAGGATCTCGGAGGGCAATGGGGGGGCTGACAGATGTTCCCAAAAGTATTGGGCATGTCCAATATTTTGGGAATGCCTCAGTGGCCACCGGTGGTGGAGCTGGGCAGAGCGTTGGGGGACACTTTGGAGGTGCGGTGGGCTGGGTGGAGCTGGAACATGACTGGAGAAGCCTGGCTGAAGCAGGTGCCGGAGTCCCAGCTGGGGGTGGGAAGTGGGAGGCAGGGCCCGCCTCAATGTGCAGCTCAGGCTTCAGAACCAAAGTAGCGTGTGGTCCTCGGGTAAGCTGCTATCTGTGTTATGTGCACACAGCAGCACAGGGCAGGAGACAGTGAGGGGCAACTTCTTACATGTTAATGGCTTCTACTGCACCAGCTAAAGGCTTAATGGGACAGGGAGGGGAGAGGGAGCTGGAAATGTTGGCGGTAGGGGGCTACATGTTGCAGGGAATAGTGGGGCAGGGAGTAGGGAAGGAGAGAGACACACCACACCAGTCTTCTCTCACATGCTTAAAGTTACTATAACCACCATGTACTAACACTGCCAGGTTGGGGGACATAGACCAGGGATAAGATTTCTCTCATTGGCCCTGTTAGCAACTGCACATTGCCAACATTTCAAATCACAAGCAACTGTGTGGCCTAGTGGAACAACCACTGGACTGGGACTATTGCTAGCTCTGCCACTGGCCTGCTGCGTGACCTTGGGCAAGTCACTTCCATGCTCTGTGCCTCAGTTTCCCATTTGTAAAATGGAGATAATGATGTAAAGTTCTTTGAGATGTACTGATGAAAAGCACTATATAAAAACTAGGTTTTGGGGTTATTATCTAGCTTCAGTTGCATATCAACTGTAAATCTAGGCGAGAACTACAACTGTCTAAATTACCAGTAACTCCTCCCAACGAACATTTCTCTTTCTGTTTAGAAAGCTAGGAAATTAAATGGCCAAAAAAATTGTTAAAATAAGGTTGCCCAGTGATAGCTTGCCCTTCCAGAACATTGAGGTCAGCAAAACTCAAACTTCTGAAAGCCAAGAAATACAGAGTTAAGATAAATTCTCACACCACCTTAACTCTGCCCTCTTTGAGCACCCACAATGCCCGTAACACACAGATTCCCACTCTGCCATTTCACAGTAGTGGACAGGTGCTAGCTGCACTTTTCTGTACTCTGAAACACTGATCCTGCTTCCCCACCATAATACCACAATTGTGAAATGTAACCACCACTTCTTACCCTTTTACAACCCCTTCACATAGGGTACCACCCAAACATGGGCATTCCCCTACCCATCTTTAAATCCAGACTGCTCTGATATCCTATTTCCCTGCTGACAATACCAATGGCAAGAAGACCATTAGTGCCCTGACACACACTACACAATTCTTGTGGTAATGAGGTAGACTGGAACCTCAAGGTACACGCACACCTCTTGCTTCCACATGGGGGGACTCAAACCCAGAGCTCCTCATATCACAATCACAGCTCTTCCAAGCTACTCCAGCCTATTTCTCCATCATTCAGTACAGCTATGTCCAGCATAGTGAATGCAGCTGGAGTGACTGCAGATAATTCCCAGTACCTATTGCCAGCGCTGGGGGGGCAGAGTTAAGGTTGTATGGGCATTCACCTTAACTCTGTATTTCCTGGTTTTTGGAGTTTGAGATTTGCTGAAGTCGATGTTGTGGAAAGGCATGAGCAATCACGGGGCAGCCTTAACTCTGTGTCAATGACATTTTTTGCCATTTAATAATTATAAAGATGCATTGATTTCCATCTCACCAGAACATATCTCTCCTTGGAAAGTGGTGCACCGGGACAGGCTGAGTGTGACAACCTTTTCTTGAATACTTCTCATAGAAGGGGTAAGCTCTTGGCAGCATTAGAAATCAAGCTTGCCCCCTCTGCCTTAAAGAACATGTCCTCAGAGAGGCAATAGTGACTGTGTGAACTGAGTCCTAATTTCAGCCATCGCTGCTTAAGCCATTCAATCAGCAGCACAGTTGCAGAGTCACCCGAGCGTTAATACTGCAGCATGCCCAGTGATGACAGCCTCCTAAAGAAAGCAAATGGACATTTATTACATATGATCCACTTCTGAAGAAAAGCTGTGCATGTCACACTATGTGCCTCCTAAAATGAGAGCTGGGCAGGAAGTGGTTTTCCTATCCTGTGAGAATTTTTGAGAGTTTCAAAAATCTCCCATTCCCACAAGGACAGAAAGTCAAATTTCATGAACAGAAAACCACCACCACCACCACCACCCGCCGCCAAAAAAAACCCTTCAATTTGGGTTGATCAAAACATTTTATTTTGATATTGCCCTTTTTAAAAAAATATTTAAATGAAACTAATATTTCAAATGAAAAGTTATTTTTGAACCAAAAATTACATCATTTTATTCCAAAAATGTTAAAATGGGACAATTCTCCCCCCACACCCACAATTGTTTTTTCTACAGGAACAATTTGTCAAAATTGATGCATTCCCGCGGGAAGTTTCGGTTTGATGAATCAACATTTTCTGATGAAAAAAGTTTCAGTGAAAAATTCCCAACCTAACACATTGCTATGAGAGTGATGGGCTAAAACTTTCTGCTGCTCTGCTTAAAATGATATGTGTTCCCCGGGGACCAGGAGAGATGGAACATAATGACTCAGTAGAGGTTCTTCAATATCATCATGGCCCTGCTGAAATCAGTGAGAAAACTTTCATAGATTTCTATAGGATTTGGATCAGGCTTTACGTGCCCAAAGCAAATTTTCTAGCTGAAAAAAAGAGCCCTCTACGAAGCTAGAAACCAGGCTGGACAAAGCTCTGATGAAAATATCACACAGAACCATCAGGCATGGGCTGAGGGAAGACATTACAGTGAAGATGGGCTAATTGTCCAATTGGTCTAAGTTCTGTGAAGTGACATTGGGGGATCTCACTGAAGGAAGCTAAAGTCTGTCTTCTCCCCGCTTAGTATGTCTATACAGAGTTGCTGAGCCCCAAAATTTTCATACCTTAAAATTAGCCTCCCAAGTAGCCTGATTTTTCTCAGGGTTGGAGCACTCTCAAAAGTCAGTGAGAGCTGCAGGCGCTCAATATCTTGGAAAATGGGGCCACTTTTCCTTTAGAACCTCCTTCTAGGCACGCAGGCTTGTACGTTGTAGCCAAAGTGCTTAGACGGTTCCATGGCCAATGACTCTCCTGCAGGGCTGACTCATCTCCCCATGAAACTCCATGGGGGAGATTGTCAAAGGCACCAATGGTCATAAGGCCCCTAACTCACCTTGACTTTCAATGAAAGCTAGGATCCAGATCCTCCCAGGTATTCAGGTGCTTAGCTCCTATTGAAATCAATGGGAGTTAGGCACTTAAGCCCAGATCTTCAAAGGTATTTAGGTGCTGTGCCTTTGAATATCTTCTCCTAATGCCCCTCCCTCCTCAGGAAATCCCAATTCTCCATCAAGGTTGTAAAGCAATAAAACCTCTTACCTCTCTGACACCACTCCATTTGACAAACCAGCAGCAGTGTTTCTGACCAAACGCCCGGTCCTTTTGAACTGTTGTGCCATCCAGCACATCTCGTCCAACAAGGCCCAGAGCTGTTCTATCCTTTAAAAGCAAAGACATGGACTGCGGTCACTGTGCTGTGAATGCAGAGCCAGGCCTCTGGAGGAGATTGGGGACATAAAGAAAATGACTGACAGTTCCCATGAGCCATTCCGGTGGGTTATCCAAATTGAAATAGTTCAGGTTTTGTCCAAAATATTTTAGTTTTCCGGTGTTTTGCTTTTGGATGAAAAAATCAAACTTTTCTTCAGCAAGCAGACACTTTTCATTTAATTGAAAACCCAGTTTTCCATTAAAGAACAGCTTCAACAGAAAATTTTTGACCAGCCCTAAGAATGAGGAATAGAAGCCTAAGTCTCCCAACTCCCACTCCCTTGCAGTAGGCCACACAGTCTCACCAAAGAATCACGGCTGAAAAGCCACCAGAAACTCTCATTCAACACAAACTCATAAGAACGGCCATACTGGGTCAGACCAAGGTCCATCCAGCCCAGAATCCTGTCCTCTGACAGTGGCCAATGCCAGGTGCCCCAGAGGGAATGAACAGAACAGGCAATCAAGTGATCCATCCCCTGTCGCCCATTCCCAGCTTCTGGCAAACAGAGGCTAGGGACACCATCCCTGCCCATCCTGGCTAATAGCCATTGATGGACCTGTCCTCCATGAACTTATCTAGTTCTTTTTTTTACCCTGTTATAGTCTTGGCCTTCACAACATCCTCTGGCAAAGAATTCCACAGACTGATTGACTGCGTTGTGTGAAGAAATACTTCCTTCTGTTTGTTTTAAACCTGCTGCCTATTAATTTCATTTGGTGACCCCTAGTTCTTGTGTTATAAGAAGGCATAAATAACACTTCCTTATTTACTTTCTCCACACCAGTGATGATTTTATAGACCTCTATCATATCTCCCCTTAGTTTTCTCTTTTCCAAGCTGAAAAGTCTCAGTCTTATTAACCTCTCCTTATATGGAAGCCGTTCCATACCCCTAATCATTTTTGTTGCCCTTTTCTGAACTTTTTCCAATTCCAATATATCTTTTTTGAGATGGGGTGACCACATCTGCATGCAATATTCAAGATGTGGGTGTACCATGGATTTATATAGAGGCACTATGATATTTTCTGTCGTCTTATCTATCCCTTTCTTAATGATTCTCAACATTCTGTTCGCTTTTTTGACTGCCGCTGCACATTGAGCAGATGTTTTCAGAGAACTATCGACAATGACTCCAAGATTTCTTTCTTCAGTGGTAACAGCTAATTTAGACCCCATCATTTGACTCACCTCTTATTAAGAGAAAACATCATCTTTGTAGGAAGCTTATATGACATAAGACACTGTGATATTATCTCAGCCACCGAGTCCAGCAATCCAGATGCCTTCTGCCTCTCCTGGGCAGCTGGAGTAACAGCCAAATGCCAATAACAGATAAACAAACACAAGGCTTTAAAAAATTACTCATAATTTATGGAGCAAATTCAACTAAAGGAAACCCCAAAATGAATAGTTTCCTGAAAATTGTGCTGAGTCTAAACACCCTGGCCTACCCTCCAAGAGAGAATTTCCTTTAAAAGGCTGAACTGTCAAAGGGAAGTAAGGAAATTAGGCACCCGAATCCCATTGGAATCCAATGGGAGTTGGACACAAACAATTTGTCCCCTGTGCAAAGCCCACCTTCACCCCAGTTTTGGTTATAGCTCTATCCCAGTGATGGTCTTTGACCCCTCTGTTGCGCATACCAATATATATTAGTGTTATACTTGTCACTTACCTGCGCTATGGGCATTGACTGGGTCTTTAGTTCCCTCAGAACTTCAGAGAAATGGAAACGAGGTTGGAATGCACCAAAAATGTGTCAGGAATTTTCAATCTGTGGCTGCTACTTTATACACACTTTCCATTTATATGTATACACACGCATTCACACACACACAATTTACTATAGTTCACCATCGAGCAGCAATCAATGTAGCAACCCTAACGTTTACCATACTCACTCTCCCAACATGCATTTACCCCAATTGCAACACACATCCCAGACACAGGGCTGGATCAGCTGTGCCTCTGGAATGGGGACCATGACAACAAAATGAGTGTCATCACCGTAGCATCACTCTCCCCCATTTCTCCTGACCCCACCGAGCACCACCACTGGATAATCACAGTAGGTAGGTTGAGTGGGGTGGAGCCACAGGTCAGCTGTTCTCAGCGGGATCGTCCTTTGTTGTCCCCTGGAATATCTGTGCACACATCCATGCTTCGATGAGAGATTGGCTTGAGTAGATGTGACACAGACACTCCTTGGCAAAGGCTCCTCCCCCTGTTCTTTGCACACAACTCTCATGTCACGCCTGACAAACTTATTACACCAAACACATCTTGCAGGATATTTATCCATAAAGCGTAACATGAAGGTATCTACAGAAAGCTCATCAAGACTCATGATCAGTGTGAGATGTATGTACGGAAGATATTTAAAGGATAATGTATTTATATTGAAAGTCTGCTTTACGGAGTTGGAGGGAAAGTTAGTCACCAGGGGACAATGTGTCTTGGTGATGGCCCATTTAGCCAGGAGAGAATTGTCACCCCACCCTGCTTAGCCAGTGATGCAATGCAATGCAAGACTTCAATGGAAAACAATCAAAGACAATTCCAAACAATTGAAACCACTGGAAGATACAAAAATAACATTACAAAAAGACACAGGTTGACCCTGTCTATGAACAGAAACAAAAGACTGTTCCAGTCTAACAGAGGGTAGGCAAAGGCACTCTGTATTCATTCACTGAGGAAACATCTTAAGGAGCAAGGGGAGACTTCCATGAACGTTTGGATCCTGGTTCTTGTGAAACCAGCCAGTTCTGCAACAGACTAATCTTTGAGGAGAAATCTTACTTTCTGAGATAGGAGAGGGAACTATTGATAAGTGTAGACCCAGGTTTGCGTTTTATGATTTTGCTTTGTATTGTAATCATTTGTTTCCAGCATTTTCTCTCGTTTCTAGTACCCTTTCTTAACCAAACCTACTTTTATTTTGTTACATGAGCTCACAAGTGCTGTGTGTTATACAGGAAGGGTGGTTTAAGGTGAAATGGGACATGGTGCACCTCTGGAGGCAAAGGATCTGGGATTTCTGTGAGCATCTAGCATCAGGGGCTGGACATCACGGGGGAACAAGTCAAAGGGTCTCAGGGACTGGGGTGCACCTATTGTTCACCTACAAGGTGAAGTTCGGGCTGGCGTAGCCCGAGGCTGAAAGGCTGATGGTGGTAGGTAACTGACACCCACCCACCACAAGGAAGACCCCTTCTCCGTGGAGACAGAGGGTAGCAAGGTCACTGTCTGTCCGAGGTGCCCCAAGAACTGTCCCGGTAAGTAAGTTTTTCGGGATTTGGCTCAGTAACGATATTTATTAGGCATCTGTCCATCGAAAGAAGGGCTTAGCTGCTTTATTTCAAGCACAGCGAAGCAGATATAAAAGACATAGTAAAGCCATAAAAATCCCACTTGACTGCTGGACTCAAAGGCCTTCACCTCGCTGAATGAGGCCTGGAATCTCTTCCCATCCCTCCCATACAATACAGAACAAAACCTGGTAGGCCACATCCCTTCTCTTCCTGCAGCACCACTCCACAGATCCCAGGGGAACCATTACTCAGCTAGTGTAAAACTAACAGGAGGAAAGAAATCAGACTCCTCTACCTTTGTGCTGGCACGGGGGCAGCTGCGGCTGTATTTTCTGGTCTGTTCCATTGAGTGTCCCGCTCACCGCAGCAGCCTGCTTCGGGGGCAGGTCCCTGGGAGCTGGCCCGTTGGATTCCAGCCCTCCTGTGTCTGGGTTCCGGCATGAGGACTCCTCATTAGCTCGAGACAAGTCATTTTTACTGAGCAAACTGGCAAACCGGAAGGTCACCGTGTTGGCGGGATAATTTATACCAAAGGCATCTATGAGACATGACAACAAAGGGTAAAACTGTTCATAAATAGTCAGGTAAAACTAAGTGATGTTTGATTGCAGGGGATTATGTGGAAGATCCTGGTGAGACTTCATGAGACTGGAAACATTTGGACACCTAATTCCCATCGACTTTCATGGCTTGTTGACTTTCACTAGAAGCCTGCCATGCCTTTATTAACTTCCCCCTCATAGCCTAAATGCACCTGGCCAGCAGGTTTGTCTGAGCTTCTGACTCACATCTCCTGGGGCTTTAGCAAAACCAAGGTTAGTATTGATTCTTATTTCATGAGGCAGTGAGTTCCACAGGCTCCTGTGGAAGTTCTATTGCCTGTGGATACAAGCCTCCCTTTGTTGCTGGACAGTTCCCCCTGTTCTAGAGGAACATAGCTGTCATGGAAGGCCATGGTCAAAGAGAGTACAACAGAGAGATGTCTCCAGCCATATCAAATTGACCTTGTAGGTCTTATAGGGTTTGGGGTATGGAGCATTTGGATATTCTCTTTTTCTATCTGTGTACGGTCCCTAAGGCAACTGTAACTTCTGGTTCTTGTTTTGAAGTTTTCAATTAATAAACATGAACAGAGAGAGATGGCTCCAATAGCCTAGTGAGAAGCAAGTAATTTAGATACATCGTTTCTGTATTGCTCAGTAGTGGAGGTGCAGGGGATTTAAAACCATGTGTTTTATCATTCCTCCTGCCCATCAATCATAAAATCATAGACTATCAGGGTTGGAAGGGACCTCAAGAGGTCATCTAGTCCAGCCCCCTGCTCAAAGCAGGACCAATCCCCAACTAAATCATCCCAGCCAGGGCTTTGTCAACCCTGACCTTAAAAACCTCTAAGGAAGGATATTCCACCACCTCCCTAGGTAACCCATTCCAGTGCTTCACCACCCTCCTAGTGAAAAAGTTTTTCCTAATATCCAACCTAAACCTCACCCACTGCAACTTGAGACCATTACTCCTTGTTCTGTCATCTGGTACCACTGAGAACAGTCTAGATCAGGCCTGCACAACATGCAGCCAGGGGGCCGCATGCGGCCTGCATGGGCTCACGGTGCGGCCCGCAGGGGGTGAGTAGGTGGGCTCACTGTGCGGCCCACGGGGGGTGAGTAGGCAAGCAGTGGGTGAGGGAGGGGGGCTGAGGAGGAGAATAGGCAGGCAGTGGCAGGGGGTGAGTAGGCGAGCTGGAGGGGTGGGGGGCTGAGGAGGCGAGCGGGCGAGCAGTGGCAGGGGGGCAGGTGAGCCGGCGGTGGGGGCTGAGGAGGCGAGCAGGTGGGCAGTGGAGGGGGGTGAGTAGGCGAGCTGGGGGGCGGGGGGGGCTGAGGAGTCGGGCAGTGGCGGGGAGGCAGGTGAGTTGTCGGCAGGGGGTGGGCTGAGTAGGTGAGCCAGGGCGGTGAGGGGCTGAGGTGAGTGGGTGGGCAGTGGCCGGGGGGTGAGAAGGCGAGCCGGGGAAGGGGGGCTAAGGAGGCGAGCGGCAAGTCGGTGGCTGACCCGTTCTACTGATCTGGTCTTGCTCCCATCCCCTTTCACACCTTCCTCATTCACACCTCATTCATTCAACAGGGCAATTGATTACAAAGTGGGGGGAAGATCTTATTCTACTTCTAGCAAAAACACATTTTTCTTTTACCTTAATTATACTACCTTAGGGGCCAGCTATAACATATTACCAAGGTTCAATACTGCTGTTTCAGCAGGGTGGTGTTGGGGAAGGAGGGCTTTTTTTCCACAGGGCGGGCGGCGCTGGGGGGGGGGGTTGTGTTTCGGGGGGGGC